TAGGGAAACCCCAAATGGGTATAGGAAGTCCCTCCCAATTATTCCTGCTATTTTTGGTAGGTTCGGCCAAAATAGCACTCGGGTTGTCCAAATATTTTTATCAACTTTTGTTGGCACTTTATTGGGCTTCTATAATTTATTATGATGACCCAACTAAATATTTGGTAGTCCATTCTCATATAATGGACCCGAAGAATAATTTAATTAATCTCACATTAATTAAATGTATCAATCAATCACACGAAATTTATTCGCTAGGAAGTTCAAGTACATTTTAAGTTTCAAATTCAAGTACATCCGGGTGCGGTGTCACACCACATGCCTCCTACCTCAGCCCCACCCCACCGCCATCCTACACCCGTACCGCCACCCTACCTCGGCCCCACCCGGATCCCGGGCCCACTCTACCGCTACCTTACCCCAACCCCAAACCCTACCCACTACCCCCACCCTTACCGCCATCCTACCCCCACCGCCATCCTACCCCTTCCCTACCCCAGCCCCACCCTAGTCCCGACCCCACCCTACCACCATCCTATCCCAACTTCCTACCCTACCCCTACCTTACCCCAACCCCACCCACTACCCCCCACCCTTACTGCCAGCCTACCCCCCACCCTACCCCTTCCCTACCCTGGCCCCACACTGGTCCCGACCCCACCCTACCGTCATCCTATCCCAACTCCCTACCCTACCTTACCCCAACCCTACCCACTACCCCACCCTTAACCCTAACCACGACCCTAACCCACCCACTACCCCCACCCAACCCCTACCCCTAGACCATAACTTCCCTACCCGACCCCTACGAGTAGGTATGGGTGGGTATGAAGGGTTGTGGTGGAGTATGGGTAGAGTGTAAGATCGTGTTAAGGGTAGAGGTAGGGGTCAAGGGTGTGGAATTGGAGAACTGTGTGAAATAATTGATGAACATGTTTTCAAATTTGAAAAATGGAAAACTAAAAAATAGAAACAGAAAATTGGAGATAGAAAAACTGAAAAATAAAAATAGAAAATTGGAGAACGAAAAACTGAAGTAGAAAACAGGAAAATATCTCTGTTAGTAAACATGCCCTCATTGTTTTAATTTCTTTGACACACTTTTCATTTTTGGACGTTTTAAAATGAATGTCGCACTTCCCTTTTGGTAAACAATACACTACAAAACTGCAAAATATTGTCAAACTGCGATCAAATAGTACCAACAGTGTACTCTACATTAAAATTTAACCCAGTAAAAAATTCTTTAATCTTTGAAAAGTCAAACTCTGTTAAAGAAATTGAAACGGAAGGAGTAGTTTTTACGGGTAACTTGTTGGGGATGTAGAACGACTTGGTATGAACTTGCTTATATCAATCAAATTCGTTTCAAAATTTGTGTCAATTTTGGAACAAGTTATTTGACATGACATTCTTCAAACATATATTATGATTCACACCGAATGTGTCAATAACTTTGGTTTTTGTATAGTGTTTTGTTTGGAAGAAAGATATCAAATGGATTGATGATCGAGAAAATATCTTATTTGGAGATTTGAACTTGCTAGCACAATGTTGATGAGAGCTGCACTAATGTGATAATGTGATACTTAATATTGCGGGGGGTGGGATATTTTTTTTGAAAACGGGGAGTGGGGTATTTGTAGGCCATTTCATTTATTGGAAATATATTACACAAGTCTTCTATTGATTAATATATCTTCTCTTGGAAATGGTCTATCATATTAAAGCCTTCCGTTATCACATTTGGCACTATTACATTATTATAATGCTTGGAAATAATAACCTGTAATAAACTTTTGTGTTTTTAATAGATGTGCTTTTGGTTTGTTAAGTGTCCTCTCTTTGATCACCTTTGACCATAATTAGATATTTTTTATACTAAAAATGATAATACCCGCAACAGATAACTACTAGTCTACTGCATATCTCATATACACGTTTCAATTGACTATTAAGTGTACTTAATATTATATAAAACAGAAATTGTTCACATCAAACAATGTAAATTATGATAAATTAATGATCAAAGGTGATATGAGTAGTTGATAGTACATATTTTCAAAGTGAAAATGTAAAGTTTATTAAAGACGCCAAGTATGATTATGTGTGTGTCAATGTGTCACTACTTTCAAAGGATAAAATGATACATAATACGGAGTAGTTAGGTTTTGAAGACTCATCTATACACCATCCATCTCATTCAATTAATCACTTTTTATATGATTGACTTAACTTGTATTAAGGTTTCTAGAATCTGTGATTGGTTAAACATTATCAAGATCCCAATAGAAAAGAGCTCTCACAATGCTGTTTGAGACGAAATGAAACACAGATTGTTCGATGCGTTAGAAGATCATCATTTTGAGAAAATCCTTCCAAATCACCTCATTGATATCTTGAACATAAAACCTCTTACATGAAAATGATTTTCTTTTGGACCATTCCCACCTCTTTGCACTATATTTTCCTTTTGGGTATTATTCCTATAAATCTCATCTTTGAATAATACCTTCTATTTTTTATTTTGAATGTTAGATCAGAAACTCTTAAAAAATTGTTTAGCTAAAACTAGGGGTGGGCAAACGGGTCTTGGAACCGCGGTCCGGTCCGGGTAATGGCGGTTCGGGTCCAAAACGGGCCGGTTCCATTTTTTGTTGTCATAAAACGGTCCGGGTAGGGTCGGGTAATTTTTTTTAAGGAACCGGACCGGTTCCAAAATTAAAAAATAACGGGTACCCGGCCCGGCCCGTTATATCTATTGTATATTAATTTATTAGTAGTTTTGTGATAATCGGTTTTGAAATAGTTTTGTTCCTTTGCTAGAAGTAGGATTTTAAATTGAGTTGCAGTAACATCCTTTTGTTTTCAAATTATTGATTAAAGATGATTTTGTTATATATTTTTTATTACATTGTTATTAAAATATATAAATTGGCTAGTACTGAAAATTCAATAAAAAAAAACAATCACTTTAATATGTGATGTTAGACAACATGTTTAAATAAAAATGTTAGAAAATATGTATTTTGGCTATGTTGCATATTTTTGAAATATCTTTAATTGTTTGAAACTTATATACAATAAATTATGGAGTATTGGACTTTTCGCTTGTGTTGTATGTGCACCACTATGTTGTTATTTTGAAACTTGCTAATGTCCTATATTACTGATTATTGATTTTTGGAACTTCGTGAGTTTTTACTAATTTCAAGACATGAGAATAGAAACCGTAAAACCCGGACCGGACCGACCCGTTTCAAACGGGCCGGGTAATTTCCGGTTCCTATTTTGAAAATTGTAATACCCGGACCGGACCGAACCGTACAATGGAACCGGCGGTTCCATTTTATTTTGCATTACCCGCCCCGACCCGGCCCGTGCCCAGCCCTAGCTAAAACTAAACATAGAACGCTTGTTCTCATCCTACTCATGTTAAGCGCTCTCCAAACACCATTGCACATGCGCTAGCTTAGGCTATTACGTAGTATTTCACAGACGATTCCAGATTTCCAGGGAGTTGGAATGACACTCCCTCCAAATTGTATTGGTGATCTAATGTTTTAATGAAACTCTTTCTTTCAAAAACAAACTTTTATACACTTTTTCAATTCTCTTATAATCAATTGGGAACACATCCAAATTAATTTGAGAACGCATCTAAAAATTCAATTGGGAACGCATCCAAATTAATTTGAGAACGCAAAAATGCGCAATTATCTTCAAGAATTAATTTGAATGTGTTCCTGGTTGAATTTTTAGCTCAAATTTGGTATGAGTAAACTAGACTTGATGAATAAGATGCTCAAAAGATTTTATAAAAGAATTCCACCGGGAACCACCCCAAATCGCGACTCCGGACAGAGTCTCTTATAGAAGGACTTAATTGATTTTTTATGAAAGTTCGAGCACCTATTTGACAGTTTTCCCAATAGTAGGGGTAATGAATAGTGTAGAAAAAGTAGGAGAGAAAGTGAAAAAGTGGGAAAGGGAAGATAAAAAAATAGAAAAAGTAAGGGTAGTTGGGTATTTTTAAAAGAAAAAAACTTATTAAAAAGGGAAAGTGTATCAAACTTTTAAGAGAAAATGGTCAAATAAGACCTTCTACTATTATGAAATAATCACATAAGGCCATGTACTCAATAAAGTGTAATATAAGTATCTCTACTTGTAAAAAACAATCAAATTAGTCCTAATGACCTATTTAACACCTCTTAATTCCGGTTTTAGCTTACATGTCGATTTTTTTGACTTGTATTTCAACAAATCTTAATTAAATATTCGATGAATGCCGTATAATCTATTCTAAAAACATGGTCAGAAGTATGTTAAAATCGGGATTAAGAGGTGTTAAATAGGCCATTAGGACCCATTTGATTGTTTTTTTCAAGTAGAGGTACTTATAAACACTTTATTGAGTACATCCCAAAAGAAAAAGTGTAGCAAACTTTATAATACGGATGGAGTATACGTAGTACTATCCTCCGTCTCTTTTTAATCGCAACATGTTGAATTTTACACTATTCACATATTCTACTTTGACTACATTTTATATTATTATTTTATGAAAATTATTATTTTTAAATTATATTGTTCAATTCATCTCATTACAAATTTTCAAAATCTAATTTTTAATTTTTTTACTAATAGGGATTAAGATATAATTACGGTCAAAGATGGGCGTTGACAAGTGTGAAATGTTGACCGTTGCAACTAAAAAAGAACGGAGGAAGTATAATTTAATAAAAAAGTACAGAAATACTTGGATGAGTTGGATCCGTTCTGCAACAGTTGACACAGATTCTTTTTTCTTTTTGACTAGTTCTTTTATTATTACTTGGTCCATTTTCATATTTTGGAAATTTTACTCAATACTTTCGCCCTTTCCATATTCATTTTCATACTATTTTGTGCATTTCTTTGCTACCTTGTCTAATTTTTCCCTTCTATTTCAAAAAAATGATGGGACTGAAACGGCGGATATTATTAGATAATAATAATGTCAAACAATATCTAGATCCCTTATAAATAAAGCAGGTTGAAGTCAATTAAGTAGCATCCCAGATGAGACAAATCTCGAATTCCCATCAAATTAAAGGTTTCTTATACAGATAGATAGAACTTGATCATATAGAAGTTGGGAATTGGGATCCTCCGATCATATTCTTCACCGCTTTGCTTCTGGTTATATTGGAGTAGCTAGAAAAGATGATAAGGGTGACAAAAATGGCGGAGTTGCTGGAAGAATATTACAGAATCGCCGCTGAAACATTGATGAGACAACGGCGCCTCTGCAACTCCACCGCCGACCACTGTTCTTCTTCTTCCTTCTTCCTCTACTTTTGACAAATCCTCTGTTTTCTATGAATTCATGGTGGTGGTTTTTGTAGTTTTTGGATGTGGATTTGCAAGTAAAATCATCCACTCTTTCCAAACAGAAAAATTAAAGTCTGTTTTTAGTTATTATTGTATATATCGACAGTTTATTCATTATGAGGCCGTTTGGGTAACCTCATTTTTCGGCTTCTCAGGCTTATCAGCCAACTTTTTCACCAAACGCATAATTGCTTATTGTGTAATAAGCAAAAAAAGTAAAGTTGGAGTTACTTTTCTGGCTGTATTGACTGAAATTACTGTAGATGACCATTTTAGCTATTTTTACAAATAAATTTTTCTTTATTTTATTAATAAAACTTAAATCAGCATAAACAGCCAAAGCAGCCACTTCTGCCAGAACTTCATAAATATCAGCAGAATCAGCCAAAACAGCCGATTTTCGTGCTACCAAACGGGCTCTATGAGTCCGTTTGGAGACCTCTTTTTTCGGCTTATCAGGCTTATCAGTCAGCTTCTTCACCAAACACATAACTTTTACGTTCGCGCACTGAATTGTGTAATAAGCAGAAAAAGTAAAGTTGGAGTTACTTTTGTGGCTGTATTGGCTTAAGTTACTGTAGATGACCATTTTAGCTATTTTTAAATGTAATTTTTTCTTTATTTTATTAATAAAATATATTTTTAAAATATTTTTTTCTTGAATCAACAGAATCAGTCAAATATGACTGATCATGATTGTAGTAAATTCTATGAATGCATTCAGTAAAGAATATAACCAAGTATTATGAAATGGAAGGAAATAAGCAGAAGATCAGAGAGACAAAGTATAGTATGAACACTTAGTGATATTAATGGCAAGATAGAGGAGTGGTTATGGTGTTGTAATGGTGTATTAATTACAATGGAGAAGATTCATATTTATAGGAGAAAAGCTAAGCTTCGATTTTAGGATTAAAGGATAATTGTGAACCACTCAATTATCATCTAGAATCATAATTATGATTTCCTAATTATGTATACAATGGTGATAATAATTCCTAATCAGGAATAGTTGGAAGATGACTAATTCAATTATATTTCAACATCAAGTACTTTTCAAACCATACACATTAGAAAATTCAATTTTTACGCAAATTTATGATGTACGGGTACACCCTATACCAACACTCACAATTATTTCATTGTAAATGGTCGACAAACTTGCATCAATAGTTTAGTCTCTCGCTCTCTACACTTCCTGTAACTCTCAACTTAACTGCTTAAGCTAGAAGATCAGGCTCGGGCTCGATAAGAGTGTGTTATAATTGTTCTATATTTACAAAATTGGACGTGACACACTTTACCTTTAATTTAATTTTTGTCTACTTTGTTTTATTGCCATCTTCTCACCAATATCGCGTAAATACACATACATCTAAAAGATCATATGAAAATCCGAAGGATCATATTGGGCCTTTGGAGTGCGAAGACTTAACCTTAATACAATGTTAAGTGAATGGATGCAGTAGTATAATTATTTTCATAACTTTATACTTTGTATTTTTCTCTACCTCAAGTCACTTCATCAATGACGAACTTAACATTCTCAATAGTTTGTGCTCAAGCTCAAGATAGTCGATTACCCATTAATTTGTTTTATTATTACATAATTGCATGTTCTTTCGCATGCTTTACAGGAGTGTTTGCAATTGCTTCTACTTTTAAAAAGTGATTTTTAAAGTGATTTTGGAAAAAATGTTTAATAGTAAAAGTTGGTAGTGTTTGAGAAAAAAATGATTCTGAAAAGGTAAAAGTTGGTAGTGTTTGGTAAAATAAGTGTTTTTTTGTGTAATAGAAAAAGTGAATAACAGTTTAAAGCACCTCTCAACCTGCTTCCAGCTATTAGCTTTTAAGTGATTAATTTAACCACAAGCTGTCACTTGAAAACAACCATTTCAGCTGTTTTAAACCCAAAAGCTGAAAATTGCTTTTTTAATTTTTTTTTGCAAACACTCCTTACATCTCGAGGGGATAAAATATCCCGGTCGTTGTAGGCATGGACCGCTCCCGCTTCGAGCCTATTCGGGCCGACCGGTATTTGAAAATATATGATGGCTCGGGACGGTCCTATTTCCAATTCACTACCAGTTTCCATCTCTAATCGGTCCCGGTCTGGTCTCCAACCGTACCGGTGCCGGTCCAGTCTCGTTTTTTTTTTTTACAAAAATACTTTTAAATCCTCTATTGCCATTTCCACTCTCATCTACACATCTTTTAAGCTTTTAATTGGATCCTCATTTCTTATGAAATGTTTTCAATGGTTAAAAAACAATAATTAGGAGTTAGGACTAGTCCAAAACCAGTCTCAGTCTTAAAAAGTAGAGGTCCGGAACGGGTCTCAGCCTTAAAAATATAGAGGTCTGGGAGTGGGACCTCTTTCCCACCGGTCCGGTTCCGGCCCCAAACCAAAAGTAAACTTTATTTTTTATCCTGGTTCAAAACTGCGTGATTCCGGTCCGCATCCGGTCCGACACCATAACCGAGTCGACCCCTAATTAAGGCGTACTAGATAGATTGAATTCAAATGTTATTGTATATACGGATTATATACTTTTTAATACCCTTATTAAATTAAATCTTCTTTTTTTAGTCAGAATATTGTATTAGTGACATTTTTAATACTTTATTTTTTAATTCTTTTCACTTTTAATCCTTCTATATATTACTCCCCCCGTTTTTAAAAGATAACTACATAGGTTTTGGTACAATATTTAATGGAAAATAGTAGGGGATAATGAATAATGTAGAAAAAGAATGAAAGAAGAGGGATGCGGAAAAGTAGGAAATGTGAGATAAAAAATAGAAAAGGTAAACGTAATTGTGTATTTTTAAAGGAAAAACTTACCAAAGAGGGTAAGTGAAACAAACTTTTAAATTTGCCCAAATAGGAAAATATAACAAACTTTTAAATACGGAGGGAACTTGATTTTAGCACAATAATTAAGTCTAGGACTAAAGATAAAGGATCAAAGTGTGACTCTTATTTTAGGATGTTTTTAGTTGGCATGTAATTTACTAATCTGGTTTGGTCTGATCTGGTCTGGTCTGGCTTGGTCTGATAATGTGTGATCTCTTTATATTTTTATAACTATCTAAGTTTGGTCTGGTGACTGGTTTGATCTGTTTTGGTCAGGTATGGGACGAATTACTGTCCAAGTAAAAACATCCTTATAACACTTAGAGAACTAAATATGGAAAAGTTCAAAAACAAGGATCAAAAGTGATCTTCAACAATTGTTGAAGGATTAAAATTAAAAAAATTTAAAACCGAGAATCAAAAGTGTCATTAACATAGTACTCAAAAGGATTAAAGTGACAAAGTCTCTTTTCATACCAACAAACATTATACGTAGTAACTGCTAATTCTATTTTATTTTTAATATAAAAGAACGTAACACTTGACATTCTATCTTAATACAAGATCCACCCTACGTATTCAATTCTATTATGGAGTATTAGAGTATATATATACGTAGTACTACACTACTACGTATTAAACTACTACGTATTTATCTTTGCGCTTAAATTGATACATACATATACTTCTAGACTAAGTAATGGAGCAACTAACTCGCTCAAATATTTACGTATGAGAAGAAAAAATATACTCATAGGAATAGAGATGATCCAGATGTCACCCGCAACAAGCACTTTAGTTTTGCTTGTGCGCATCAACGACTAGCAAGATAGTGAGTAGTGACCTCATTTTCACACTTTACCCGTGAAGACATAAAGTTTGAGCGTTCTCCAAGAAATTTTGAAAATATGATCCACTACTAATATTTGTATAACTATGAGCTTGTTTGATTACATTGAAAATGATTGAACCCGGTTGAATGTGTTGATCGAAACGTAACTAATGAAGCTTTTATTGAAGTTGTTGAATTGACTGAACCTACTGTATTATTGAAAAATTAAATTTAAAATATATTTCATCAATGAAATAAAAAGAAAAATATAAAAATAACTAAAATGACATTGTACAACAACTTCAGTAAAACTATGTACAAGTTTGAAAACTACATTTAAAATTTAGAATTTGATTAAAATAAGACAAAAGTATTGTCAAAGTTCTAAAATAGGATCCAATAAGTTCTCTTCCTAAAACCAGACTTAGGACGTTTTCTTTTGGACTGAAATTTGTTGGTCTGGTCTGATCTGATCTGGTCTCTGTGCATTTTATAACTTCGGAAGTCTGGTCTGGTCCGGAAAATAGTCCAAAAGAAAATATCCTTACTTAATCCTAATAAAAGAATAAGTAAACTAAAATTTCAAAATATGCATGCATAAATCTATTTGGAGATTTTTTATGTATGTTGCGCGTCCTGCCTGTATACACATCGATCTTAAGTCACGAAATAAAAAAGGTGGAATCTTAGGCATGAATACATTCTAGAGTACGTACTGCACCTTTCTGATTAGGATAGTGTAAAGTTAGATGCATGGCCGTTTCGTGCAATATGATGCCCATCCACTTTGTGTGTGTATATATATGCGCACACATGCACATATATATGCAAAAACGTAATTGCAAGATCGATGCATTAATTTAAGTAATTAATAATTAAGCCAGATATATATTGGCAGTAACATAAATAAGGGGCGGGGAGCGGCGGCGGCATATCTATTCATGGCGGAGAATAATTTGCAGATTGTTCCGGTGGGGACATCATCCAGCATAAGGAAAGTGGAAGCGCAATATGTAGAAATGATGGTTCCTCTCTATTCTCACGGATGCGTGAGGAAGGTCAAGAACGCCTTATCCCAGATTAGAGGTACGCATTGGCATATTGGGGACAATTTAGGCACTAGTCCAGCTCAAATTTTAAAAATATCGAAAATAATAATACGTGTAAAATTTCTTGTGTTAAAAATTTCCAAAAATTTGGGTTTTCAATATTTTGGCATTGGTTTTTTAAGTGATGTCACGTTTTCTTGTGTATTCTAGCATTTGAGCGGGTTTCATGATGTACATATTTGACTCTTAAGTAACAACAAAATTACATTTTGAGATTGGAAGCTGAATGGAGAATGTGTTTCCAATAAACAGAGACAATTTTTCATTAATTATCTACCACGGAGTAGCATATCTAGTCATGAGCAATGAGTTTAGAGCCTTCACCAACAATGGCTAAATTGTGTGAATTTAATCGATGTGTACTGTAATACGGAGTATTGTGTAAATATAGCGACGGGACTTCTTAGAGTAAAGTAAAGGTTTTTTTATAAGAATATTACTAAAATAAAACTCATTTACATAAATATGACTATTCATTACTACAACGTAGTGTTGTGGTAACTTAAGTGCAAAACTTAAACATGAATTACTATGATTTCATTATAGAAATTACTTCAAATAGGACTAAAACTATGACAAAAACTCAAAATAGGACTTGCTATGTTTTTTTTCCAAAATAGGACCATAGTGGTCCTATTGGAAACATACTCATTTCTTCCTTCCATTCTTACCCCTCCTTTAAATATTAGTAAAAGATAGCTAAAAGTCATAAATAAATGTTTAATTCATAATAAATTCAAAAAAATTTCAATAATTCGTAGAAAAATAATAAAAAATTTAATAAAATTTTTATAAAATAAAAAATAAGAATTTTTTTTTTAATTTTTTTTTTAAAAAATTAATAAAAAATAGTAAAACTCTATAAAAAAAATTAAAAAAAATATGGATACGTTTCCCACTGCCTGTACTACCTCCCTGAACCACCACCTCCGATCGGTGTAAAAAATGCCACTTTTTTTTTAAAATTCCACAAAAATGGCATATTTCTATATGAGAATGCCAACATTTTCATTCTGCCAACTTGAATCCTTTTGACTTTTGCCAAAAATATGGCATTCATAATTTTTTTGGCATTTTTTTACCCCGGTGACAGGAGGTGGTGGTACCGCCTCCCTGCACCACCACCTCCGACCTTTAAAAAAAATGTCATATTTCCTACAAACTTCCATTTTTTTCGGAAAATGCCAAAAATATGGCATATTTCTCTTTGAGAATGCCAACATTTTTTTTCTTCCATCTTAAATCATTCTGAATTATGCCAAAAATATGGAATTCATAATAAATTTGGCATTTTTTCCCCAAATGACTAGAGGTGGTGGTGCTGGGGCGGTATAGGCGGCGGTGACAAAAAAAATATTTTTTTGTTTTTTTTTTAATTTTTTTTTAATTTTTTTTATTTTTGATTTTTTTTTAAATTTTTTTTTTAAATTTATTATTATTCAGAATATTTTTATTAATTTTTTGGTATATTTTACGAATTTTTATTATTTTTTATTATTTTATTATGAATTAAAACATTCCAATAGGTATAAGGGTATATTTGTCCAAGACAAACATAATTAGTCCTATGGAAACATAGTTTATTTTTTGGTCCTATTTGTGCAAAGTGAATGACTTTTAGTCCTATTTTGATAATTAACTCATTTCATTACTACTCTAGTAACTAATCATATTTTTGTAAACCATCTTTATTTTGGTTATATGTATGTAATTATTTCTAAAGTAAAAGTGCACCCTATCCCCGAGTGCTCGATCAGTGAGATAATTTACTGAAAGAATTAAATTGATCAGTTATAATCACAATCCTATTGATAGAGAGTGATATTTCCATACCACGTTATTTAATTTGTGAACTGAGTAATGTATCCAATAAAACGTAACGGTTCTTTCATAGGGTACGAAATGAAATTAAACAAAAGAATCAAATAGGCTCTTCATATAAGTATTTGAAATAATTCATCAGTTAAAACCTCATGCTAAACGAATGTGCTCCATGTTGGAAAAATAGTTTTGCTTTTAATATAATGAACGCTTTTGGGCTAAAATAAATAAGAGACCCACAACTCATTTGTGGTAGAACCAAATCCTAGCGTGTATAGTACTCCCTCCGTCCCTGTTTTATCTCCCATTTCAGCTAGGCACACTAATTAAGATAGTAGGATTTGTGTGGTGGAGAGTTGTACAGAGGAGAGAGAAATGTGTAAGAATGTGTAAGAATGGTTGTGAACCACAAATTCTTTACCAAAAAGAGAAAGAGGGGATAATTTTGGGACGGATGAAAAAAGAAAGTTTGAAGATAATTCAGGGACGGAGGGAGTAATGTATAGTACTTTAAAAGGTGAACACAACTATGTATTAAAGTGTGCAAACCATGTAGAAATGAATGAGAAGTTGTTCGCTGAACTTCACTACAAACCAGTTTGGGAAACGACTTTGTCCCACACACCAAATGGAGAAGAGTCTTTTATAAACTTTTCTTGGGGTACCAACATTTTGTTGAGCGGTGAGACACGTATACGATGAGCGTACGTGAAATTAACCATCCTTGTCCGTTCCGCCGTTAACCGGTCAACCTAAGTGTTAAGCAGTCCAATTAAAGACTACATTTTTTGGATTGGCATCTTGGCAGAAAAGGCGTGGCTTTCGAGTTTTAAATAAGTTTACTGCCAAGGGAGTGCCATTCATTTCTCTTCATTCAATAGGTGTCTTTTTAGGCAGGATTTACAGGATAGAAACTCTCTAAATAGTTAGGTTTAGAGAAGTAAGAGCGATACCAATCCGAAAACACCCAACGTTTACTCAAATTTTATTTAATATGTGACGACCAGCTCTAGGTTTTCAACACTAATAAAAACGGATGATTTATTGTTTTCTCAAAAATTTGAGTCTTTTTTTTTTTGAAAAAGTGAAATTTATTGAAAAATAACGGAAGTAGTACAATGAGGAAATAAAAGAAAGAAAATAAAAAAGTACAATGAAAGAAAAACCTAAGACTAGATCCAAGGAAAATCTCTGGACTGTGACCTAGTCCTCATGCTGTGGCGCCTTTTATTCTTTTGAGATTTCCGGTATATTTTTAGTTGGGTGTTCAGGTTGTCTGTTGACAGACAATTATCTGAGGTAACAAACTGAGATTTGCTGCAAATCGCTCTGTTGAATTTAGATTTCTTAATTTCTGTCTGAGTTGAGATAGGAGGACGACGATCGCTTTCGGTTGCTCATAAACTCATTGCTCATAACTAGATATGCTACTCCGTGGTATGTAATTAATGAAAAATTGTCTCTGTTTATTGGAAACACATTCTCCATTCAGCTTCCAATCTCAAAATGTAATTTTGTTACTTAAGAGTCAAATATGTACATCATGAAACCCGCTCAAATGCTAGAATACACAAGAAAACGTGACATCACTCAAATATGTACGTCATGAGCAATAATTTGAGTCTTATATATGATCAATTTGAAATATTAGAAGAATATGTTACGTTTGAATATTGGAATGAGCTTGAACTGCTCATAGATTTAAATTATAAATTCAATCCCCGAGGCCACCCGGCTAATTTGCTCATTCATGTAATGTTACATCTACTTTCTTCAATTGTGGAGGATGATCCTCATCGATCTTAATATTCACAATATTTTTTGCAGCTTACTCATCTTATATGTAATAACATTTCATAAGAGTGTACAAAAAAATAAGGCTTATGGTACACAATAAATGGATGAAATGGTGCAGGAATATACTCGGTGAATGTGGAATTTAAAGAGCAGAAGGTGACAGTGTGGGGGATATGCAACAAATATGATGTTTTGTCAACAATCGGGAAAAAGAGGAAAGATGCTCGCTTTTGGAATCCTGAAGACAACGACGACGACGTTGAACCAGAAGGAGGCGGGGAAGAACAAGTGTTATCACAGTCATTGACAATGAAAGTATCATCATCGTTTCTAAAACGTCATCGCTCGGCCCAACCTCTGGCCCTGCTTAGGTCTCGCTCGCTATTGAGCTGGAAATCATCTCTTAAAAGGGCTTTTTCGAGGAGTCACTCATTTTAAATATGTCATGAATGCGCGTTGTTTAATAATGTACATTTAAATAAGTTCTGTTTGTCTGTAATTAACAAATGATGTATTTATCATCTACATTCGGACTAAGATGCATTTATGTATAGTAGTATTATATACGTTGCACGAAGTAATAATCAATTATACCTGAAGCAAATTGTGGGATGGGAAGACTAAAAAAGTGTAATATTGCTAGATATAAGTGACAAGTTTTGTGCCGCGTAGTGAATACACTCCTTTTTTCAATCATTTTACGTACACTTTCAATCTAATTGCAGTTCTATGTCGCTATGCGTTCAATTTTTATTAACATGTAAGAGTCATTTATGATATTCCCAAATCCCAGCTAGCTACCTATATGTATGTGCATTTTTTAGACTTCAATTAATTTGGTATGAAAGTACTATTAGCTAACTAATCACTTCGGGTATGAAAGCTTATCAACTTTTGTTTCATTGATAACCTTAACTCTCAAGCATGACATGTTGGAGTAGATGCCAACTTTCGGCATTACAAGAAAGTCGGTAGACAACTAGACACCATTCTTTTCTGTATTCAAATTTTCTCTAATAAATTATATACTACCTCCATCCCAAAAAGGTTGACCAATTTGACTTTTCTTGGTCAATGATGTTAAAGTTTAGACAATGATTTTAGGTATTATATTTAGGTGTAATTTATAAATCTTATACTTTTTTGAAAGATCTTTTGATAAAGAATAAACTCATATAATTTTCATATTTCAAATAATTTTGTATTAAAAGATATCATTGGTCAAAGTTGATAACCGTTGACCAAGAAAAGTCAAATTGACCAACCTTTTTGGGACGGAGGAGGTATGATGTATCTATGATAGTCAAATATCTTCAAGATATAATTTTTGTATCTATGATAGTCTATTGTATTCTACTTTGTAATTAATTGTTCATATAACACCATGAAGCGATATGTTCGGAAATTTGAGATTCGCTTACCATAATGTTATGATCTAATTTGATAATTAAATTTTCTCTTCAAATTATGTACATTGGGTGATCCAATGTACATAATTTGCATATCGCGAGATAGTTTGATGCATTTAATTATATGAATTATTGAGAATATGTATCAACTTTTAGAAAAGCCTGAACATAAAGAAGAGTATTAACCAAATTTAAATAATACGTAGTAGTAAAGTATTGCAGATTGTAGACGTTTATCAAAACAGAGAGGATCAGATCTAAACAAATTACACAAAATTAGAACAAATTTGAATAGATTAAGCCATAAATTTTAGTTCAATCGAAAAACAATTGGATTATTCTATACTACCCAAAAATTAGAACAAATTTGAATAGATTAAGCCATAAATGGATTATTCTATACTACTCGATCAGTATATACATTATACCATGTGACTATGTGAGGCTGAACTATATATCCTAATCAATTTGAATCTGCATTTTGAGTGACCCAATGTCATATTCAGTAATGACATCTCAATTGACTATGTAACCATTGGGACCATCTATCGTTCATTCATCAGTCCCACTCCAAAATAAATTTTGTGTCTCAATACACTCAGCCTGATTGGATTTAACTTCATATGGATCAGAGTAGTATTTTGCCCCAAACTCGCAGTGTTAGATTTGGCTCAATATTTTCCCTACAAATCTTTACACCCATCTTGGAAATCCTCTTAAGGTACACTCTTTCTTTCAGTACGTCTAGCAGTCTAGCTTAGCTTGTATAATATCTTTAGTTCTAGAAGTGACTCAGCACTCAAGTGAGCGTTGGCTTCATCCTTATTTCCTAGTGAAATACTAGCTAGTTTGGTAATCTTTATTTTAGGCCTAACATTTTTATGAGATAAATATTTAACCAAACACTTAATTTGTTATTTAGAAATAATTAAAATAAGTAAGTTTAAAGTTTTTTTATTTTGTTAGTAAAATTTATTTGAAATGTAATTTTTCTTAACTCATTAAATTACACTCATTCAACCGTTTCATCCAGAATTTTACCAATTTCAATCAATTCAACCAAATTAGATGTTACCAATTGGATTCCTAATTAGTATGTTATGGCCTACTTTAGTCGAATATGATTGTGTTTATGTAAGACTAGGTGCTACTACATTATCATTTTTTCTAGAAAAATGTTGTTAGTACACGCCACTTTGTACACGTTATTTTACACATCAGGTAATTGTTTGTATGTAGACAAAAAAATTGTCTGTTTGCCGAAAATTTTTGTTTAATAAGATAATTACCCGGCGTGTAAAATGATGGGTACAAAGTGACATGTACACAACACATTTATAATTGCTTCTTCTATTGTATATTTGAAAATAGTTATGTGATTCATTCTAGCTTATTCTTACCATTCTCATTTGTAAATGTGATTAATAATCGTATCATCCCTTATGTGCCAATCTTAGGGACAGAGATAGCATTCGATCATATCAATGTAATATACCGAGTATTATCTATACGACTATACTTTAGTTATTGAAGTACCATATTCTCAACCTTCCTCTAAGTTAATCGGTGCAGTTTAAATAAGGGGTTTTTACTTGGATATTACTAATTTTGAACCAATTACCCAAAAAGAAACCACTTTTAAAAAGGGGCAAAAAAGTGATCAAAAAGGTCATATATGTGCAATTAGAAAACATGATGTAACTGCAAAAAACTTATGTCACTGCGTGTTCATTTTTTGTAACTGCAATCACCACCCATGTCACTACAACCACCGCCCGTGTCACTGTTGCCACCGCCCGTGTCACTGTAGCCACCGCCCATGTCACTGTAGCCACCGCCCGTGTCACTGTAGCCACCGCCCATGCACCCCGAGCCCCCTCCTATGCACAGCCGACACCACAGTTGATCCCTACCCTGCCAACCAGCCCCTCCCCAACCCCTCCCCAGCCAACCAGTCCCCCTCCCAGCCCCTCCCCTGCCAACCAGCCCCCCTCCGCAACCCACCAGACCCCTCCCCAGCAAACTAGCCCCACTCTCCAACCCACCAGTCCCCTTCCCCAGCCAACCTGCCCCCCTCCCCAACACACCAGCCCCCCCAGCCCCTCCTTTGCCGCCCAGCGCCTCCCCAGCCAACCAGCCCCCTTCCATGCACCCCAGCCCCCTCCCCTTCACCCCCACCACCTGCGACCACCAAATCCCACAAATGCAGGTAGCCTGCAGCCACCACTTACCAGCCTCCTCTCCATTCCCCATCCCTGTCAGCCCGCTGCCCCCGGCAACCGGCAACCGCAAGCCCCACTAGCCCCCCAACCCACCTCAGCTCCGAGCCCCTGTAATCGCTGTCCAACACACCCCAGCCGGCCAGGCCTACAACCACCGCATTCCTCCACGCCACCACCGTCCACTGTTTCACTTCATCCTGTAACTCATCCGATCACAAACTTAGCCGCCAATATAATATCAGATCTAAAACTCTAATCGTGCCATCTCCGTCGCAATCGAAGCAATCACAGAGGTAGTGCTCCAGATCTGTGGCGAGTTACTGTATACGAAGAAAGGAGAGGAAGAAGAGGTAATTCAGCACCGGCCCTCTTCTCCAAGGTCATCTCCGTCGCCCACGTCGTCATCTCTGTAGTGTCGTCATCGTCACCTCACCATCTGAATCGAAGCCTCTGTGAGGAGATGACTGGCGATGGAGAGGAAGTGCTTGAAGATGGAGGATGGCAAACTCTGGCGGAAGAGGAACGAGAAACGGCAGAAGACGAAGGGAAGTGAGGGTCTACGAACGAGATTTATTTTTAAATTCAGTCACTTTTTTGCCCAATTGAAAAGTGCTCATGTTTTTGTCATCTCAAACCTTATAGATAATATCGGTGCCGTTCTTTCTTTAAATAATCTATATGAATTACACTGTTAGGCTAGGCCAAAATGACAATCAAATAAAAAAAATCTTATACGTAGTACTCCGTAGAAGTTATGTACACGTATATGTTTTAATTTTATTTTCGAGAACTATATAATTACAAATAAATATTTTTAAATTTGCTACACTTTTCTTTTTAGATGTATATAAAAGTTTGCTACACTTTCGCATTTTAATTTGGTAAGTTTTTCATTTAAATACTCAATTACCTTTACTTTTTCTACTTTTTATCTTACTAGTAAATCACCCGTGCGATGCACGGTCGGTGAATTTCTAACCTATATTTTGTTCCTTAAAATCGTTTTTTGCACCATCAGCCCAAAATGACTTTTTCATAACAAAAACAATGATTTGGAGTATAGCACCGTTGCAACCACAAAATTCAATACTAAGGAAAGATTAAACAAAGAAATACAATGACAAACTGAACCAAAATAATTTTGCAAAGGACCAAAGGGGAGTGTTAAAACCAAAGCTATGCAATCTCAGAGGTTATTGAAAACTTCTTTATAAACCACATTCTGAGTGGAATGAGCCGTCGTGCCGCTCTCATTGCATATAAGTATTTTCAAACCACACCTGTTGGTCACCCTTGAAACCGCAACATAGAGCTGTCCATGAGTAAACACCGGTTTCTTCAGCAACAACCCCACTCGGGATAACGATTGGCCTTGACTTTTATTTATAGTCATAGCATATGAAATCATAATGGGGTACTGTCGCCTCTGAAACCTGAAAGGCAAGTTGGTATCTGAGGGAGTCAAGGACAATCTAGGAATCAACACTTTTTGTCCAGCACTAAGACCAGTCAAAATTTCCCCCTCCAATACATGATCGCAAAGCCTGGTGAGAATCAACCGAGTGCTGTTACACAACCCCATTGAATGATCTATATTTCTAAGAAGCATGATCGGGGTCCCAACCTTTAAAGTCAACTTGTGATTCGGCACACCAGACAACTTAATGCTGTTCAGAAATTCCGGCGTGTGCAGTTCTGCCATGAGATCGGTAGTAGAATCTACCTTTGAAACGCTGTCAGGACTAAGATATGTCCTGGAAACTTCTCCAACGTTGAGACCCATCATATAATCATTAACAGATTCAACCACGGCTAGTGTTGGGGCCAAAATTGCACGATCACGCAGACAACTAACGTCATTTGCAGACGCTACATACTCGGGGAAGATGCTTTCCACAATGGCAGATACAGGATCAACATTTGTGTGAATCAATAGATCCTCATAAATATCAATCGACACAACACCATCATTTTCTTCCCCCAATACGCCGTCACCAATACTCGCAATCCACTCCGAGAACTTCTTCAAATCATATGATTTATCTTCACTTGTCAAATTTTGCAGACGCATGTTTTTGGTCAAACGCAGAACGGTGCAATTAG